TAAATGTACAGGAGTATCTGTTGCCAATGGTGTTGTTAGCTCATCGTGCCTCCACGAAGTCAACCACAGGCAAGTCCCCGTTTATGTTAATGTACGTCGACATCCGCGCCTTCCGGTTGATCAGGAAATTGGGTTGTGGCCAGCAACACGCTTGTCTCCGGAGAAGCTAAAGTAAGAGAGAGTTCGAGAAAATTTGACCGCCGTTCAGGAAAGGGCTAGGGAGAGAACGACAAAGTACAAAGGTCCGAACGTTCCCCATGGGCACGAGGGTCAGGTGGAAGGATCACCAGAATCCTTGAAGGAGTGGACTGGGGTCGCGGGAACTAGGCGGCCGATGGCAAGGGCCGTTTGTAGTCACCGACCGCCGAGGGAACGTCTACACTATTCAAGATGGTCGGGGATCGAAATTGGTGAATGGGACGCAGCTTCGCAAGTGGCATGGTACACCTGAAGAGCGGCCGAATAGGCCCGCTGCCAAAGCCGACCTGACGGAGGGAAATGAAAATAGATGGCACGCGAACGAGCTTCAAGGGGTGGAGGTGGGTAACGGTGATACTACTCATGGGGAGGCACGCGAGTAGTATGTGTTGTCCGTAGAATTTCGCTTTGCGTCGACTGAAAAAGAGAATTCTGTTGCGGAATTCGTGGGGCCACTTTGTAACATTTCCTTGGATTTGACCGACGAATGAGTGGAGTCAATGAATCTCCAGGAAAGTTCGAGACGACACGATCGGTATTTGTAACTACTTTGCAGATTAGGGTTTTGCTTCACTGTTCAATGCTCTGTAAACGGTCAGTTAGCATTTCCTAATAAATAACTCCGCAGCGACGGCCTTCTTCCTTGTAAGGGGTTTGATGGATAAAGTCCTACTTTCTCTTTGCATCATCCGTCCAACTCAGACCTGCGCCTCGACGTGACGAAGTTCAGGTCTCGTGGGCAACTCCACTTAATCCAGATTGTCCGGACAGCTTTCATGCATGAGCTGGTTTCGCTCATCACAATCGGTTTACGAAGAATAAGCGTTGATACAGGCTACCGATTCCGACGGTAATGCTGTCTGGCATGCGCGTGGCCAGAAATTCATTTAGATGACGCACCCCGAGAAGCCGCAGAACTAAAAGTGCGGAAGCAACGGGTTTTCCCAGGTTCAAGCGGGGATTAAAGATGCGCTATTTGTATGTTAAAATGGAGCCAGGATATTGTGATGACGTGGATGATGTAATAATTTGACAGGGTCCATTATTCAACTGCACCAGTGAAAAAAGAAATCTTCTTCCGTAATTCTTGTGCAGCACGTCCGGTTTTACGACCGTCAAGGATTCACAAGGGACCCCGAATAATATACACTCGCAATAAACTATTCAAACCATAATCACTTGCTTATTAGATATTCATTGCAATTTCTGAAATTTCAAGCTAAGCCGTGATGACGATCTGTGCAATAAATGTAGCCTAGATATCTGAAATAGATTGTAGTTTCTACCGTATACTCAAGGATGACTGATAGTTAGATCGCGAAGATATCGACTGGAATATTGACAGTTCAGACAAAATCCAGCCTTTTGAATGTCCTCGACTACACTTGCTCAACCTGGCAATCATTCTCCTCTTGAGTTGCACAGAGACATGCAACAAAATGGTTACTGTGAATAAACACATTTAAGTACTTTTCGCTAAGGTTCCACAAGACGTCCTCCCATCCCACCACTTATTGAAGTGACCGAAGCCAAGGCGCCGGGTTATTCATATGGGTCAGTGTGGAGTTCAAGATGGGCAAAGTGTGGTGAAAGCAGAATGATTTGTGCGAGCTAACTCGATTATGGATGAATCAAGTAAACATGAACAATATGAAGCCACGTGCAAAATCAAAGGTCATCGTAATTTTAATTAGGTATAGCCCCGGCGTACGAATCTTTAAATTGCTAAATCACAGTTGAAAAACTACGTTGTTTCCGCTCGCTAATTTCCATGTAAATCTGAGTAACAAGTTTGTTCGACAAAACTACGTTTGTTTCTTCCTCCATCTGTTTATTTATTTGTTTATTTATATCTTTATTTTCAGTTTTTGTCGAACAGGAAGATGAAGAAACTACAGCTAGATGAACACTTACTACCCATAGATGACACACCAACAGTGAACGTCAAACGTAGCTTAGGGACTTTGCTGTAGTGACCTCCTGTGACAACCTGATTCGTTGAGAGCCCGGTGAAGCAAGAAGCATACACCGAATTTTCAGGCAAATTTCAATAATGACCAAAGTCGAACACGCCCAGGAGTTTAACGAATACCCTAATGGAAACACGTGTTTCTCTCCTCTGATGGGAACCGAAGATGGCTTTCCCCGTTAATATCACTTCAATGGCGTAACTGCAAAGGCCTCGTCGTCCAATTTTTCACCATCTAGATAGACAATCTTTCGTTACCATCCATCTAAGAGTCCCTTCGTTCAACGATATGCCAACTGCAGTTTCGGGTCAGTGCACCAGAACCCTGTCCATTGACATTACTGGGACAAGAAAGGGGTTGGTTCGATGACCCTCACGACACAGCAACTACCGTATCTGACAAACTCTGCCTTTGCCTTTGGCACAGTTATCTCGATTTTTCCAGTATTATTTAGCTTTAAATATTGTTTCTAGCTCCTCTAACCACCTGTCAGAATTTCCCTGTCCTCTGGAGTTTTTCGAAGGCTGCGTCCAGTAACCATCTGAAAGACAGCTGTAGAGTAACGTCAGGACGAGCTGCTTGTTTCCATCCCAGTAGTTTTTCAGCGCTTTCGCTCTTTGCTGGTTATATGTAACTTTGTTTCCGTTTATGGCTACCCTCAGTTGTTCGATACATTGGTTTAATAACGCTCCAAATCAAAGGTCATCGTAATTTTAATTAGGTATAGCCCCGGCGTACGAATCTTTAAATTGCTAAATCACAGTTGAAAAACTACGTTGTTTCCGCTCGCTAATTTCCATGTAAATCTGAGTAACAAGTTTGTTCGACAAAACTACGTTTGTTTCTTCCTCCATCTGTTTATTTATTTGTTTATTTATATCTTTATTTTCAGTTTTTGTCGAACAGGAAGATGAAGAAACTACAGCTAGATGAACACTTACTACCCATAGATGACACACCAACAGTGAACGTCAAACGTAGCTTAGGGACTTTGCTGTAGTGACCTCCTGTGACAACCTGATTCGTTGAGAGCCCGGTGAAGCAAGAAGCATACACCGAATTTTCAGGCAAATTTCAATAATGACCAAAGTCGAACACGCCCAGGAGTTTAACGAATACCCTAATGGAAACACATGTTTCTCTCCTCTGATGGGAACCGAAGATGGCTTTCCCCGTTAATATCACTTCAATGGCGTAACTGCAAAGGCCTCGTCGTCCAATTTTTCACCATCTAGATAGACAATCTTTCGTTACCATCCATCTAAGAGTCCCTTCGTTCAACGATATGCCAACTGCAGTTTCGGGTCAGTGCACCAGAACCCTGTCCATTGACATTACTGGGACAAGAAAGGGGTTGGTTCGATGACCCTCACGACACAGCAACTACCGTATCTGACAAACTCTGCCTTTGCCTTTGGCACAGTTATCTCGATTTTTCCAGTATTATTTAGCTTTAAATATTGTTTCTAGCTCCTCTAACCACCTGTCAGAATTTCCCTGTCCTCTGGAGTTTTTCGAAGGCTGCGTCCAGTAACCATCTGAAAGACAGCTGTAGAGTAACGTCAGGACGAGCTGCTTGTTTCCATCCCAGTAGTTTTTCAGCGCTTTCGCTCTTTGCTGGTTATATGTAACTTTGTTTCCGTTTATGGCTACCCTCAGTTGTTCGATACATTGGTTTAATAACGCTCCTACAGTCCCACTGCCCCCCTGATAAAACCTTGGTCCAGCTGTGCTTGCGGTGGTTTTGTTCCGTAATTTGCGAGTGGTTTTGTTCCGTAATTTTCCATTCTTTTGAGACGCTGTGGTGGATCAAAAAGGCAGTCTATCGACCTTGTTTCTCTTTTGATGTATGACAGCCATGCAATTCAAATAAAGATACTTTGAAGCTGTTACTGCCTACATAAAGGTAACAGAAAAGTTTACAACTCCCCATCAGTTAAAATGGAACACTGTCGACCGAAATATCTGTAGATTGTTTCTCCTGCCTAGTCGGACTACCCGACAGGGTGTCACAGATTCTCTTACAGAACAGGACGACTTATTACCAATGAACCAATGGAGCCATCACCTCAGAGGCCTATCCAGAGAATTTGAAGTATTCACGTATTTTCAACTACCAAGACAGTAAGGTGAGCACTGAAGGGTCAACAAAATTCAAAAGTTGAAATCCTTGCGAGTAAGTTGGTTTGGCCTGGAATATGTAGATAAAATAGTACTTCTTATTTCCAGAAAAGATGAGGAAGGAAATGTGCCGAAAGATGAGCCATCCAGATATGTTCGCTGTTTTTACCTAACAATAAGTAAGAGCGTGTTTTGAGATAGATAGCCTTTAAACATCCCTCGTAGAATTAAATAAGTTGGTGGACAAGTTAAGTAAAACACAAGATATAATCCAGAAGTTGCATTGGCTCAAGTCGTCGTGTGGCGTGGTATGTGTGGAATTTATGCACGAATCTCAGAACGCAGTGTTGTGCTTCCCCATCTAAACAAAATATGGAATGAAAGTGCACATTATCCCACTAACTGCATTTGGCTGTATTATGGCGTGCTTTGTTGCACACCTGCGAGATCTGGCGGTTACAGACAGATGAACTGAGACACGTTCGCATGGATACTTGTTGATGGTTTGGGAAGATGCCTGAAATTAATGAAATCAATGAACTTACAAGAAGGTGGAACAGGAACGATCGCTTTATTAAGCTGTAAAAACGTCGCATGCTGAAGGCATTCAGAATTGCCGGATATGATAGATTGGCCATGCACAACCTATACCGAGTTATCCCCTATCGATACGTGTGCCGTTTCCTATATTCAACGCGAAAATGCAAAAGTCTGGAGGGAGGTTAATGATTCTCAGGGGCGAGATGGCTCAATTGGTTAAAGCGAATTTACTGATCGGAAGATCCGTGGTTCAAACGTGACCTCTGCTTCTCGACTTCCCCTGTCTAGGCTTGGGCA